GACAAAATAACATCTGTAGCAATCATTTTAAAAACACATTTTGAAATCGTTTGAAATCAACGGTCTGGATTTTGTCAACACACTTTGTAGCCCAACTTTTGTAACTCAACTTTGTACAAATAGCTTTATTGTATTTCCCCTATCCATGGAGCATTATTCTTTTCTTTTTTTTCTTTTTTTAGAAGAGCTTCCTAGAAAAATATCTTAAGTCAACATACTCTAAAAGTTAGACAAAATATTTTTAGAAAATTATTTAAATATGTTTAAAATAGTTTCTTAGTCTCGGAAGTAGTTTTTGGATTCTCTAAAAGTCGTGCCAAATGGGTCCGGAATAGAATTAAATTAAAAAAAGAAGAATTAGAATTTATCTGTTCTGGTGTAGAGTATATTCAATCCAAAAAAGAAACAAGAACAAAGAAAACGGTTGAGGCAGATGCAGTAGTAAATGAAATGGATGAAATAGGTGATGCCACTTGGGCGACCCCACAGGGAACAGAGGAGTTAATGTGGCCGTGACACAATGGGGCCCAGAGGTCAACTTTCTAACCCATACATCATTTTTGATGACGTGTCGTATATACAATGTCCAGAGTCCATGTGGATGTCCACATCTGGGTCCTACTGGAATAGTGACGTGGCCAATATGCCACGTTGACACAGACTACTCGTGCTTTGTGTTTTTGCTTTTGAGGGGCAGGAAAACAACTGATGGGTGACCTTGTCTGGTTGGCCGTGTTGTGAGTTGGGATTTTTTTTTTTTTGGTTATAATGCTCTTGTATTGTGAAATAGGTGCGTGTTTTGCTAAATTTAAGTAAAATTAATTAATTAAATCATGATTTTCAAATATGTTTAGATTTAACTCTTATCTATTACTATTAGGATATGACCTAATTCAATTTTGAAAATAATTGAAAATTCTAATTAAAGTCGATATTAAGAGAAATTCTATTTGTTGGAATACTTTAGAAATCCGATTCGAAGTTTATTTGATAAATTCTAGTTAAAATTCTATTTGAAAGTCCAATTGGGAGTTGAAATTTGTGTTGGATTATGAGATATCAAGATATGGATTAGGGAGAACTTTTCAGTGCAATTATGCTTGCATGGCTCTTGATTGCAATTCAAGCGCCCACAATAGTGAAGCGGTGCTCTCCTGGCGCTTGAGCGCCATATTCATCCGGCTCATACCCGTTTTTCTGTTTTGATGCGTTCCTTTTTATCTATAACTCTATTTTTAGGATTTGAAACATCCCATATATATGGATTATGAAAGATCAAGATATGGATTAGGGAGGACTTTTCAGCGCAATTATGCTTGCATGGCTCTTGATTGCAATTCAAGCGCCCAAAATAGTGAAGCAGTGCTCTCCTGGCACTCGAGTGCCATATTTATCCGGCTCATACTCCTTTTTCCATTTCGATGCGTTCCTTTTTATCTATAGTTCTATTTTTAGGATTTGAAACATCCCATATATATATATATATAT